TAAATTTTGCTATTACTTGGAATGATAAAAGGAAATAGAAAAGTCTCATTTCTTAACTTTTTTATCTGAGCCTATAACGAAAATTTAAAAAATGCGTTTTGTAGATCTTGATTACTTATATGCATGTTTTGATAATTTTATCGGAATCGTTTGACGTTGTCATAAGTTATGACAAATTGAAAATCGGAAAGATTGCAGATTTATCACGATTTTAACTCATAACTGTAAGAAATCTGCAGTTTTTTTTATACCTTTTAACGCCTGTAGCTCGGCTCTGGGTAAACCAATTTCGATCAAATTTTCAGCACGCATAAAAGTTACCGAGATCTACGAGAAAGGCATTTTTTAAATGTTCGTTATAGACTCAGATGAAAATGTTAAAAAACGAGAGTTCTTTTATTTTGTTTATCATGCCAAAAGATAGAAAAATTTAGACTACTAGTTTCTCTATCATCTAATTAGTACAATACATTTTAAATCAAAAGCTGTCACATTAAAATAGATATTTGATATATTAGTTGTACAAAATTTTAATCTTAATATGTTGTCACAAATGCGTTTTGCTTAATATCACCAGTTAACCATTTCGGCATGTTATAAATAATTTCTTTTAAATATTCTGAATAAGTAGAATATATTCTTATTTATTCGAGTTTATTCTTCATTTTTATTCGAATAAAAAACAATTTCTTATTCAAATTAAATTTTATTCGAATAAAGTTTATTTGGGATAAATTTATATTCGGTTGAATGTTTATTCGATAGTGGCGAATACAACTTTATTCGTTAGTCTTTGTTCGTCATCCGAATAAAATTTTCCCCAACACTGAAACTAATTTATAGAAGACATGCATATTAATTTTTATACTAATATTCTCTTTACGTGCAACCGGTATTATCATCATATCTGCTTTTATTGACAATGAAAATATTTTTCGCGTCAAGCATACGAATAATTGTAATGATGGATACGTTTCTGCCGGTGATGTGAATGTTAATAAGAAACTTGGATCGCCGCCATCTAAAATGACTTTCATCCACGGATTTCACGCGTCGGATGTTTACGCGAAGGCTAAACAAAGGATTATTAGATTTCCAAGGAATATCGAGCCTTTGTCGCGACGCCGGTACAAAGGATACGAAGACGGGGAGGCAAAGTTGAAACGCGGCGACGGCTCGCCGTCGCTAAGGAATCAATTTTCCGAGTGAATATCCGAACCCTTTGTTCTCGTTTTCCTTGAATGCGTCCCGTTCCATTCAGCGCGTGAATCGCGTCCTTTAGGGAATTTCGTGGCGATGGTGTCGGTGGCAGTGAACGGGCCCGTCAACGCCGACCATGACCGTGTGTACAATGGTTCCCGCAACTCGCAATCATCCACCTCCCCACGCATCGTCGTGTATAGATCGGTTCTATTGTTATACCGGGGACGCCTCGAAAAAGTGCCGCGACTAATTACCGGTCGGTCGATCGACAAAACCTTAGAAAGTCGGTTATAAGTCACGTAACAATTACGAAGTCATCGTTGTCAATAGCTGTACAAGATGGTTCTCCCTCCCCCCAACTCGCACTACGAATCCATTGTTTTTTCTCTGGTCAATGAAATTTCCATTGTGGATCTGGTGAATTAAGTAATTTTGGATTTCGTAATTAAATCCATGTAGAAAGATTTGTTTAACTGATGTGATTTCTTACGTTTAAATCTATCGGACAGGTTTCAGTCGTCGTGAAGTTCAAAAGCCCTGTACTATAATTTTAAATGTATAAGTACTGGCGTGTAACGTTTCACATACGAAACTCTTTTATCTGGAATATGACTCAAATTATTGGACACCTCAAGTCTTTACAATTAAAAAAACTAAACTAAATTCAGTTCATCTATAATTTTACGTAAATTCAATAACAATCTTTTTACATTGGATTCAATCCTTTGAATTCGTATAATATTTATTTACGAAGTAGCATTATTATAACCTTCGTATCTCAATATTTATAACTTAGCAACCTATTATTCGTGTTTAAAACGTATTACGCAAATGTCATTACGAATATTGCTATGAAAGGCATTGCTATAATTGCATTTATAGAACACAATGAACATTCTGCTGTGTTACATTTAGTATAATATTTATATGTTTGGTGTATTTGTATTTAGAATATGGTTATTACGAACACCACTGTATTCCAAGCTAAATAAATTCTTATTTGGAATGAACAGAAGCACTGTTTTTAATGCATTTGAAATACTGTAAGAACAATAACTGAGAATCTACATTGCCCGCTGAATAGCCGGAGCCCCGTTTAATTATCTCTTAATACGCAAATGCGAGGCTAACTAGAATTGTATTTAGCGCTACATCATACCGACGATCTCCAATCGAATTTCCCATCGCGTAATGGCCGCCAACCCTTTTGTTACGAGAACTGTTGCCCCGTTTCGCTTATTGTCCCCCGTTTTCCGCATGTTTTTCGCAACGCGGAATGATCGCTAATTGAACAACCACCATTTTACCGCACACACGTTCGATCGGTGAGAATACTGTGAAATGTGCTCCATTTTGCATCGGACACAGCCTATTCAATCAGGAACGTGCCATACACGCGTTACCTTCGCCAACAATTATCATAATAACGGTAGGTTCGTTACTGGGCTCGTAGGCTCGTCGAACATGTTGCTTCTGAAAGCTCGCGTCGAATAATTCCGGTGTTCACTTACCCGAGAAGGGAACAGCAAAACAAAAAGAATCGGGCCCTAGTGGATGAAATAGAAGGAAACGGATGAAAACTTCAAATAAGAAAAAACCAAAGATTAATCTTATGATACTATAGCTTTATTTTAGACTAGAACGGAAAAATAATATAATATTAATATAAAATAATAATAATAATAATAATAATAATAATAATAATAATAATTAATAATAATAATTAATAATAATTATTAATAATTAATAATAATAATAATAATTAATAATAATAATGATAATAATAATGATAACTATATACACAAGAATAGTAGGACCGACATACATAACATTGTTTTCTGTTCGTGTGCATCTGTCGTGTATCATGTGTATGCATCTTTTGCGTAATTCACGCGTGTCCCAAGCGTGAACGTGGGAATCGCGCGTGTGTCGTGTGAGCTCGTGTGTCGGTAAAGGAAAAAAAGCGAGAAACGGAGCCACACCCTCGACGGCTGCGGATACGAGCTCGCGGGAAACAAGATAAATTGAAGACGAGCCAAAAGACACAAAAATAACACGAGAAATAATAATAATAAACGAAGAATAATGAAAAGAAAAAACCGCGAGAACGTTAAGCGCAATGGGAAATGGACGTGCGTCGAGCCGCTCGAGGCTGAAAGAGACACTCGGACGAGCGAGTCGTTTCCGGCTGAGTACCGGGGCCGACCGAGAGTGTGGCTATCACAAAAGGAAACTCATAAATAACTAACGCATAAAATAATAATAGTAATTAGTACTAGCCCTGATTAAGATCGATGTCGTCGTAATGGCAAATTGGAGTCTTTTCCTCGCGACGACGCGAAGGGTAGCGAAAGAAGATACGGGTCAAAGAAAACGAGACGCGTAGGGTTCATGGATGAAAATGTGGGTGAGGGGTGGTGAGGGTTAAAATGTATGTACGTGGAACGCATCGTTTGTTCTCGAAACGATCGCGTTCCTGCAGCGATCACGTGCTCCACGGAGGCCAGAATCGGGTTCGTTCTTACTAAAAGGGGCCCCATCCGGGCCTCGGACAACAGTGAGCACGGCTCGCCAAGTATTTACAGCGTACGCTACGAGCACATTTAAGAAGGTTTCCCACCGTGTTGGGTGACACGGTCTTGGAATGGCTTCGCGGATAATGACGACGATGATGACGATGATAATAATAATGTAAAATCGAAACAGGGAGAAACAAAGGTGTAGGGGTGCGCGACGAGACGGAGCGACGCTTCGCTACGCTATGTAGGAATTAAGGGCAACGTGTATTCTCCGTTCTTTCTGGCTATAGTATAATGCATCAAACGCTTCGAGTAATAATCGAAATGGATAGTACTAAGAATCCATTATAAAATATAATAATAAAGTTCGTAATAATCTGTATCTCTCTAGTTGCGACGATCGTTACGTTTAATAGCTAAAGCTCGTTGCACGCGTACGTTCTCTCCCTCTCTTTCTCTCTCTCTCTCTCTCTCTCTCTCTCTCTCTCTCTCTCTCTGCTCACATGCATGCTTTTCTTTTCCCTTCGATCTTGCTCTTTTTCATTTTGCCTCGCTCATTCTCACTCTCATTCTCCCGATCTCTTACTCTTGTACTTGTTCGCTCTTGGTCTCATTCTCTCTGATGCTTTTTTCTTCCACACGCTCACGCACACGGAACGAACGCGGACACACAATGCAGACATACTTTCGATCTTTCTTCCGTTCGCCCCCTCGTATTCTTGTTCTACGCTAGAATAGTCATCTGATAGGAACTTTCAGTATTGCCTAGCTCTGGGTATATAATATTCGCACTATATATGTAAAGATCTTTCGAAAACCTCTCTGTATATTAATTCCATACAGCGTCGGGCCCCCTAGAGTATCACACGGGCCGAATTGTACAGGTGTGTGTATACACGCGGTAAACAAAGAACACGTGCACAACATACAACGACGTAGCTCGCGCAAGTTCGAAATTCAATTGTCACGTTTAAAAATCGCAAGAAAATAAAAAAAAAGGAAAGACGAAGAAGAAGAAGGAAAAGGAAAAGAGATTCTTGCACTTTCATCTAGGCAGTCGTTAGAAAATAAAACGAAGAAGGTAAAACGAATATAAAACGCATCCCGACGTTCAAGATAATTAAAAATAGCGTCCTCGATCGGCATACGATGCACGATTGGGCGAATGTGTGTGTTTCTTTTTTTCTACAATATGTAGATCCTCGTGCGTCAAATATGCGAATTTCGAACGAGGCGCGTGTCGATTGGTCGCTTACAAGAGGTCAGCGAGGCACTCACCGGGCGTGGTGGTAGCCGTACTAGGCGTTGCGGCACCCGGGTGTTGTTGTTGCTGCGGCTGGAACATCGCCGTAGGGTGAAGGAACAAGGATCCGTACATCATGTTTTCGTCCGATTGCTGCTGCTGGCCGGCTTGCTGATTGGTAGCGCCAACCACCGACGCGTTGCCCATCCCCGCGGCGGCGGTGTTCCCGGTGGGGAGGATCGGCGCGCCAGGTGTCGGCGGCACCAGGCTGCCCTCCTCGACGGCGACACGCACCGACTCGATATGCCGTCGCGAGAATACGTGCTCCTGCAGCGGCGACTTCGCTGAGTATCGGACCGAGCAGAGTCTACACTCGTCGGGCCCGGTCGGGCCGCGATGCGGTTGCACCGCCGAGCCTTCGGCTGGCAGGCCCGCCGCTAATCTGGCTTTCTTTTCCTTGGCGCGGGCGTTCTGGAACCAGACCTACAGTCGGCTCGATTAGATCGCGGGCTCATCGATGCACACCGGTCCGGATCGAACGATCTACCGAGATTTCGAGGATCGAGGATCGATATCTACTGAATTTGCATTGCTTCCTAAATGTCCACCGACCTTGAAAATGAAGAAATTAAGAAGATTTAATAAGAGCCGCATGGGAACGTTCGTTGTTCGACGGTCTCGTTCTTTTCTTTTCCGACAAGAAAGAACCCATTATTGCTCACGATATTGTCACTTCCGGGTAATGCAACTTCTCGCGCGAAGAGTTGATACAGTTGACTAAAAATTACTGTTCGCGGCGCATGAAATATGTAACGCAAGGAATCGTTCTTTGCCTCGTTTCATTACGCAAATTACTGTTTCAAACTGTCGTTATTACGTTGCTTTACGTCGCGCGGCAGTATCGACGATGATCATTATCAGTACAAAAGAACTTTTCTATAGTTATTTAAGACTATAGTCGTATGAGACCGTCATCTAACCCCTCCGCTATTCGTCTGCACTCACTTGAAACCGTACTATTCGAGACTGCATGACAAAATTTATTCCAAGCATATTTCGATGCAACATCCGACACCGCTATTCGATCTTTCAAAGTTTCCTGAACATGCGACGATGAACGAAGTATTAAACAAACGATTTTTCAAGCAATAAAACCGTGCAAATTCCCATACGTTTCAAGAGTATCCGTGAAACGTCTAAAGTTCTTCGATCCGGACCCACTGAAGGACTGAAAAGCGTTCGCGGCTAGCAATGATTCTGACCGGTCATCCGGAGTGCTCACCTGTACCACGCGCTTCGGCAGGCCTATCTCGCGACCGAGCATCTCGCATTCAGCCATGGTTGGTGTCTTGTAGTCCGAGAACAGCGACTTCATCACCTTTACCTGAGTCGCTGACATCTGAGTGCGATACCTTTTGCCGCTGGACTGGCCGGTTCCACCACCGGCACCGGTTACAGCCGGCACAGCAGCGCTTCCAGTTCCCACGGAAGCGGACCCCTGCCGCGAGCTCTGAGTGCTCGAGGCGGGACTCGCGGGACCGCTCTCGTCGTCCAAGAACTCCGTGGTCTCGCTAAGGCTGTCGTCGTCGCAAATGCTTCGTTCGGAGAGGTCGGTCAGCGGGCCGCAGTCGCTGCCGCCGCGGAAGTGCATGCCGTGTTGTTCTTCGAGGAGGTTGCTCAGCCCGCCGAGACTCAGCTTCATCGGTCGGCTGAGATCGACCGGTTTGCTCAGGTCCAACGGGGACTCGCCGCTGTTGTTGCCAGAAGCCTGGTGGTTCGTCGCTTCTTGCTTACCGTTGCTGGCGTGGGCCTGCAGCTCGCTGATGTATCGCTTCATGGACTCCTCGTAGTACTTCTTAAGGGAGGCCTCCATGTCGGTGTTGAATGGAGGGAACAGCGGCGGCATCATATTGGGCGTGCTGGGGTTCGAGGGCGCGGACTCCATCGAGAGCTCCTCGTCGGGAATATTGTCGATGTTCACCTCGCCGCGGGCTACCTGGTCGGCATGCTTGCTGCTCAGATGAGATTCCAACGCGGACTTCACCTTGAAAAGCGCCGGGCAAAACGGGCAGCGCTTGTTGATCACCTGGCTGTGCGCGCGGAACTGACCCTTGCGCTCGCGAGCGCGAGTGTTTTGGAACCACACCTGCACCACACGTTTCTTCAATCCGACCTCGCGTGCGATAGTCTCCAGCATCTTTCTAGACGGGTTCGACTCGACCTGGTATTTCTGGTAAAGATAGTCCAGTTGTTCCGGGAGAATTGTCGTCCGCAATCGCTTGTCCTTGGGCTGCTCGCTGTGTTCGGAGTTCGAGCGAGACTCGCCGCCTGTGCCGTCGTCGAAGTCATCGTACTTACGTTTTCTGTCTTGCATCATCGCGATCAGGGGATGAGGGGTTTCGGCCGCTACGCCGGTGGTAGCATTGAGGGCTTGTTGCTGTAGGATTCCGAACGGCGAGTCCGGCGGGTAGGCGGGTGGAAACAGGGACGGGTTCATGATATGTACTAGCTGATGCTCGCGCCACAGTTCGAACCGTCCGAACATCAGGTTGCATTTGTCGCATTGGTAACTCTCCTCCTTGGACTCGGCTTGCGACTGAGCCTGTGATTGGGACTGCGACTGAGACTGTTGCTGTTGCGGTAACTGTTGTTGGGGCTGCTGATGCGACTGTGTCATCGTCTGTTGTTGATGGTGAGGAGATGCGGTGGTGTTCAGAGGCTGTTGCAGTTGCTCCGCGAGGGCTGGAGCAGAGGATGGGTTGTTGGATGTGATGTTCGTGGTGGTCGTCGTCGAGCTGCTGTTGCTGTCCTCGGAACTCAAGACGGCTGCGACCTGGGCTGCAGCTGCCTGCGCCTGCGCGCTTCTCTTCGCATCCTCCTCCTTGAAGCAATGGGTTTTCTGATGTCTGATGAGCTCGTAGTACCGTTGGAATACTAGCAAGCATTTCTTACACTGGTAATTCAAGCCTGGTGTTCTTTGGAACCGGCCGGACCCGTCGTCACCTTCGCGATTGCCTGGTGTCACTGGCTCGGCGGCTGGCTGATTCTCGTATACCTTGCGCGCTTTCTGCCTAGCATTTTGAAACCAAACCACGATTACGCGTGGACTTAATCCGAGAAGCTTGCTCAAATACTCGAGGTCGTCGTCTTTTGGGTACGCGTTGTTTTCGAAAAATTCTTGGAGAACCTTAATCTGGTAATCCGTAAATCTTGTTCGATTCGCTCGTTTGCCGGAACTGTTACCCGAGGAGCTGTTTCCGTTCGAACCACCACTGAAGGAGTAGTCCGTCGGTCCACGGCCGGGACTGAGAGATCTCTGAGGTGTCAAGGTCAAACCTGTTATGGAGCCAGGTACCACTCCACCTGGGCCAGGGTTGGGGCTAGCAAAACTCTGCGGGCCCAGTTTCGGTGGTAACATGGGGATGCTCGGCGCGCTTGTTGTCGTTGAAGAGTGTGACGAGACGTCATGGTGCATCGGGAATACGGAGCTCATACTGAGTGCTGGAGAATGAGGGCGAGATTGCTGACCACCCGAGCTTCCAGGTGAATGATGTTGCTGCTCTTCCTGGTGCTGGGACTGCTGTTGAACGTGGCACTGCGGTTGCTCTTGTATCTCCTGCTTTATCTCGGTGGTCTGAGACGCGTTGACGCTCGTCGTCGACGGAGGCGGAGATGCTTGTTTGTTCGGGCTTTTATCGTCCGAGGAACTGTTACCGGATACGCTAGAATTTAACGGAGTAACTTTCGCCTCCCCGGTCTTCTCGTACTCTTCGAGATTCAACGTGGTGCTCGGAGGATTGTTGAAATTATAGGGGCTGTCTTTGTTGCGCTGGCGTTCTTTGAACAACGTATTTCGGAACCAATGTTTTATTACTTTCGGGGGCAATCCGCTTTGCGCCGCCATGTCTAGAATCTGCTCCTCGCCCGGCGAATTGTTAATATCAAAATGCGCTCGTAGGATTTTTAGCTGTTCGTCTGTTATGCGGGTGCGCGCACGTTTCTGAGAAGCAGCTGCACTTGCCTGCAACACGAAAATGTGCATCTGTTCTTTCTCTGCATTTCTGGCTGCGATTAATCTATCGCGTTGGCGTTGCTTTAAATTATATAGGAATCATCGAAAATATTGAATCTGTTACCATTAGTAACAATAATTTGTACATTAATTTCGAAACACGCAGTAATCAACGATCACAGTAACAATCGCACAAGCGATACTAACACTTGTCAATGAATAGACAAGTAAATAAAAGTTAACAGTCGTTTTCATATAAATAAAATAATATAATAATATAATATCTGTATTCTCTCTCTCTCTGTTTGAATGTGAAAATGACACCGAATCGGGGAAGCGTACATGCATTTTCAACTGTTAAACAAATTTTTAGAAAGAGTTAGAAGTATCATAATATTTGTCATGTTATTCTAGACAATTTGCTTTCTAATTATTGCATCTCTTTATTATCACATTATTTTTATTTTTATTTGCGATTTTTAGTAAATCAAGAACGAATATTTTTCTTAGAATATCTCTAACTGTTGGATTCCATTTCTTTAATACAGAAATGACATTCCCTCAGTGACCATAATCATTATTTTAGAACAATTTATCAGGAGAAACATACATTTCCTATAGCTGTTCACGTCAGCATTTATTTAAAAATATCTAACTCATAATTTCTATGGACACATTAGTAGAAATCCCTAATTACCAAGATTAACGTTGGTATCATTAAAACTTTGAACGCGTGAGGGTTAAAATATCACGAAAGTTTACACGAAAACTAGAAAAATGACCTAAGGAACAGTACTTAAGAGAACGTAAAACAGCATTAGAGGATTCAATAATTACTCACAGCCGCCGCTTGTTGCTGTTGCAGAGCGAGATGTTGTTTCGCCAGAAGATCGGCCTGAGCGTTGATAGGTGGATACGCGGTCGCAGCGCCATCGTAAGGCGGCGGCGGTAGCATCATAGGTACGAGAGGTGGTTGCAGATTCATTGCGGCCAAAGCAGGAACATTCAACCCGAGAGGAAGGCCCATCATGCCCATCATCAATCCAGGATATTGCTGAAGTTGTTGTTGCAACTGAGAAGCCGCCATAGCGTTCAATGCAGCCTGCATCTCGGACATCTGTTGAGCCAGCGTCAGCTGAGCGTGCTGTTGTTGTTGCTGCTGCTGTTGCTGCTGTTGCTGTTGTTGTTGCTGCTGCTGTTGTTGCTGCTGCTGTTGCTGCTGTGAATGATGAGTCTGAGCGGACGGTAACACGGTGGCTGTAGTCGAATCGGTGCTCGACACGGGCGTGTTGCTCAACGCAGGAGTAGTTGCGGGTGTAGTCGACGTTGCTTCCGGTGTCTTGGTGATGCGTTCTTTGTTCTCAGCGATCTCCTCCTTTTCTTTCTCGCGTTGTTCCTTGTCGGAGCTGAGATCTTGCGGCTGACCGGACGCGGGGGTGGAGCTTCTGGGCGCAGACGACGTGGACGAGGACGTCGCGACGGTGACCACCACGCTTTTCTTTTCATACTCGCACTTGAACTGTTGCGCGTACTTCTCGAGAAACTCGCGGGGCACCAGATCGCGATGCACCTCCTCGCAATGCGCCTTCAACACCCAGACGCTGCTGAACTCCTTATTGCAATGCTGGCAAGTGCTTCTGGTCAGTTCCGGTATAACATCGTCGTCGGTCGGTTCCTCCACCTCCTCCTCCTTCTCGCGGGCCGCCTGAGCTGCGAGTGCTTGCTTCTGCTGTTCCTGCTTCTGTTGTTCTTGCTGGGCCTGGAGCGCGGCCGCAGCCTCCTCCTCCTTCCGCTGGCGCCTCTGGTGGTTTTCGTTGAATTGCATCACAAGATCGAAACCGAAGCTCTCCAACAGATGCTTGTACATTTGCGACGTTTTGTGACGTGGCTGCGACAGGATGTCCTGTGTCGTCTGCGAAGTGTGCTGCACGCTCTGTTGCATGTGTTGCTGCGGCCCGGGCGTCGTAGACGTCGGCGGCGGTGTTTTGGCGGTCGTAGACGGGACGAGTTGCTGCGACGCTGCCAGTTGTTGAAACAATGCCAGTGGATTGCTGAAAATACAATACAGCTGTTGGTGCGTGGCAAGCTGCTCCTGGTTCACGAACAACGCGCTGCATCGGGGACAAGACAGCATTCCTGTGCTACTGGTGTTCATGTTAACAGGTGGACTGTTCGGGCTGGATGGGGGCGGCTGCTCGATCAACGGTCGCGCGAGATCTAATTGCCCACTGGCAGCGAGATCTGGCAGTTTGCTGGCTCTTGTCTGGTGTAACACACTTCTCATATGAATGTCTAGGGTGCTGCCCTGCGAGTAAGCTACTTTACAGATGTTGCACTTGTAGGGTTTCTTATCTTGATCCTGCTGGGAATCCGGCGACTCTGTCGGGCTGGCCGGCGGCACCACCGATATCAGCGTGTTGTTGTTACCCTGCTCCTGCATGGCCCTCTTCAATTTGTGCAGGTGACTCACGCTATTGTAGTGGACCAACAGTATGTTCTTCTGAGTGAAACTCTCCTTGCAGACGTCGCATTTGTACGGTCTGTTCGGGTCCAAGTATTTCTCCATCGGGTAGGACATTTTCTCTCCCTTGCGGTGCAGCAGCGTCTTGTTGTGCCCGGTCAGGTAGCTCTGCCGCGTGAACGCGAGCTTGCAACGATGGCATTTGAACTTTCTGCCGGGATCATGGTAGGAGTCTTCGGCGACCGGTTGGCTGTTTAGGTAGTCTTCCAGGAGACGCTGTTCCTTGTGCATCGGCGATGAGTCGCTCGCGTCGCTTTCCTCCTCCTCAGCCTTGCTGGCATCGTCTTCTACGCTCTGCTCCCCGCTCAGGTTCCCTTGTCTCCGAAAGCTCTCCTCGGTGAGCGCTTGAAGAAGCGGGTGCGCGTGCAGCAGACTCTGCTTGTACTGCGCCAGCTCGTCCTCGTGTAGATCCGCGTGAGTAGACTCTAAGTGTCTCTGAAGTGCTTGCACCGAGCGAAATGATCGACCGCACAGAGCGCACTTGGTCGCGTCCCTTATCGCGTGATACTGCGAATGCTGCTGCAATTTTTCCAAGGTCTTGAATGCCAGGCTGCACTGACCGCACCGGTATTTGTACACGTGTTTCTCGCTGACCGCCAGCGTGGGCGTCGTCGCCGGATGGGTCTCCCTGTGGTGTTGCTGCAGTTCTTCCAGGGAGCGACAGATCCGGCCGCAAATTGTGCACCTCGTGATCTCCTCGATTTCGTCGTTGCCACCGCGCTCGTTCAACTCCTCCTCTTGCGGCGGTTTCGTGGTGGTGGTTGGCGACGTCGGCGTCGTCACCGCTGGTGTCGACGTGTTCCTAGGGTTATTGTTCAGCCAGTGGCTTTGGTCAACCAACAGGAGCAGTCGCTGCAGACCGTCCGTGTTCACCGAGTGGATCTGCATCACGTGCTTCTCCAGCGCGGATCGCTCTCGGAATCCGTCTTGGCACAGCGGGCACAACAGGTCCGGCGGTGGCTCCTCCTTCACCGTCTCCGCTTTCTCGTCCGTGTCCTGCACATGAGCCACCTGCAAATGCTGTCTCAATTCCTCTCGCGACGTCGGCTGATAGGTGCAATACGGACAGGAGACGTCCTCGTGCTCGTTCTCCGGTTCCTGTTCCGTTTCCTGATCATTGTCCGGCTCTTGCTTCACCTCGTTACCGCATTCGCTACCTTCTTCCCGTCGTTCTATAAAAATCGAAAAGGGGCTCGCTTCTATTAGAAATTTATAACTACGAATTTGTAACTACGAATTTGTAACTACGAATTTCTAACTACAAATTTCTAACTACACATGCGAACAGAACTCTAAGCAGAAAATCAAAACATCAGAGAAACAGAAAAACAAAAAGCAAGAAAACAGGAAAACAGACAAACAAAAAAATCAGAAAATAAGAAAATCGAGAAATTAGAAAATGTTTTTGCGACAAGCGATGATTAATAGCGTTTCTTTGTTAAAAAAAAAAGAAAAAAAATTATGAGAAAGCTTTGCTAAGCGTCAAAATTAACATAACCTTGACATTAGTTATCTTCTTGTTGTATTTCTTGCCGCATCATCTGCTTCAAAATTGCAATGAATAGAACTGTTTCGATTGTAATGATTTCTCAGAAGACGTGACAAATTTACACTCATTATGTGATACATTTACTTGAATGTTTAAATATTGATGATATTGGTGATGACGACTTGTTGAAGGGCAGCATGGGGTTGGACTCCTTGCCACTGTGCAAAGTGGAGACAAGTTATTACATTGTGAAGATATAAACAATCAACAAAATCACTGTTAATTTTCAAAGAACAAATAAAATATGTACAACAGCAACAATAAATACTCAAAGAGAAGTCTTCAGCTTTAGTAATCGACACGTTTAGGTTACTATAGAATCAAATTCCGTGTAGTTTTGTTTACAACTGATAGTTTGCTGTCAATTTTAACATGGTGTACAAAAATGAACATTTTCGACACATTTTACTTTTTTATCTTCATAAAGGCAAGAAAGCGGCCGAGACTCACAAAGAGATATGTGAAGTTCATGGCGTCTACTGCCTTGTTCTGCTTGACATTCTGAAGTTGATGATGACAAAATCAAAGTCATAATTGAATCGAATCGTCATATAACTGTACGAGAGATTGCAAAAAGGTTAAATGTATCACAAATCACAATTGAATATTACATAAAATGTCTTAGACTTGTTAAAAAGTAAAATTCACTGAACACAACGAATCAGTATTAGCGGTATGCATTTTAAACGTAATGTAATCGATCCCTTCTTGAAACAAATTATCACTGGTGATGAAATCGTTTACAATAACATTAATCGAAAAAGGTCATGGTCCAAGCGTGGTGAACCAGCACAAATCATATCGAAAGCTGAATTGCATCAGAAAAAGATCATGCTCCCCAAATATAGTGGGACTATAAAGGTGTTGTGTATTTTAAGCCGCTTCCAAGCAACCAAACGATCAACTCAGATGTTTACTGCCAACAACTTATGAAATTGGACAACAAAGCAATCAAAGTAAGAAGGCCAAAATTGGCAAATCGCAAAGAAATCATGTTTCACTACGACAATGCAAGATCTCACACATCTTTAGCAACACGTACAAAATTATTGGAGTTTGGTTGGGAAGTGATGTCGCATTCTCCATGTAGCCCCGACCTTGCACCATCGGATTATCATTTATTTCGAAGTTTACAAAACTTTTTAAATGGAAAAAATTTCAATAATAACGATAGCCTCAAATCGCACTTGATTGAGTTTCTCACTGATAAGAATCAGAAGTTTTATGAACGCAGGATCATGAAATTACCAGAAAGATGGCAAAAGGTCATCGAACAGAATGGGAAATATTTGACTGATTAAAGTTCATTTTTTCTATAGAAAAAATTGAGTTTTATTTCACATTGAAATACCGAAATTACTTTCCTTCCAACCCAATATTTGCAACGTATGCATAAAGGAAACATTGTAACCAGTTCGAGTACGATACCATCGTTTAATATCTCTATGAATTATTAGTTTGGTTGTTTAATCAGCTTAGTAGCAACTTAACCGAATAATCGTATTTTCGATAGAGGGGACACGATAAAAAGTTTCCATTATGTCGCATTAAGGGAAGCAGTTTTAGCAGCAATGCGGTGCGCGAGTAGAATGATATGTCGTGGTGTGTAGATATCGCAGATGCTTCCTTGACTCGAGTAACAATGCCGGCGAAATTACAGATTGGCAATACAAAATTATCGATGGTTCGTTCCCGGGACAAGAAACGTAGCCCGGTGGCGAAAGCAAGACAAGAAATAAAGAACGACCGCCTATTCGCGTGGTCTGGTATTGTCCGAAACCGCATTTACATCGAACAGCGTCAGTTGCGAGAACACAACGGGACGAGGCAACGCGTGCTACTGGTTTTCTCCTCGTATACGTACGTCCTTCCTCATATATTTATGTAAGTACAGGCCGCCGATATAATAACGCTCTGTATTGTGCGTGGCGCGGCACACGCCACGACCATATGCCACGCTAAATTACTGTCATTGCCTCTTAATTACGCGATAATCGATGAAAACACTGAATTCACGAAGGTGTTCTTAACGCTTTCTACGACGCTAGGTTTTCCTTAGGCCGAGGCTTTTCATAAAAACAACTCATTGAAACGCCGGCTAATCACCCACTGAATCGTAATAATTTGATGACAGATGGCCGCTATTAAGCCGAGAAATTAATTCGAGCAAACGCAGGCTGTCCTAACAAAAGAGATGTAATGTTTTATTCGAGCCGCCGTGAAATACAAACAAAATGTTCCACGGCATTATTTTTAAGGAGAATGCTGATTAGTACGACTATGTTGTCCGGAGGTTGTTAGACACAGCGCCGATAATTAAAAATAACGAGCGCAGCATTGTCTCCGCGTATTATTCGAATTTCGGAAATTGCGAACGTTACCGGGCTCCCAAGTGTTAGGACGGTACAGATACCTGTCAAGAAAAGCGATTGAAGTGCGTGTGCGAATAAATGATCATGTTTGCGTTTGAAATCCAATGAGCTTCGTGTGATTTAAAGACATAAAGTGTAAGTTAATTCGTAGAGTCTTGATCGAGCTATTCGTCGCATACGGAAATTTACATGTGTAAACATATCCAATATTGGCACTGCCTAAGATTCACAAAATCCAGCATTTAATTCAGTGCACCGCCATCCCCTTCACGTAAGGTTCACGGTGAACAGGGTCCGCCTAATGTGTTTCTTGTGTTTTGATCGATACGGGATGTACAAAGAAAATAAAACATTATTCGTCGTGAAAATAAGAAAAGATCGGTGCTTCCATGAAATGACATAACCAAAAAGCGAAAGACATTATTCGAATAAAAAACAGATTTTTGACCAGCAATTAAATGTTATTAACAGCAAGCTGAAAAATAAATCCCAATTATTTTCACCATCGCATAGAAGCGTTTGTCGCATAGAGGCATTCGTCAGACAGAAGCATTCGTCGCATACCTTAAATCACCTGAAGAAGATATATACAGCAAATTCTAAACATAGCGTAGATTAATTACATAGCAGTAGCTGTTACGCCAAATCAAGAAAACAAAATGAAACACTTTGCCATTCCGCTATCTATAAAACAAACTAAGAACTAGAAGCGAAAAGACGTAAGAGGATAACTAATCTCGAGTACGCACCACTGTTGACACTGGTAGCGTTCGGGGTGCTAGGTGTATTTGGACTCGATTGTTGGGCGGGTGGTGCATCAGGATCGCCGACGACCTGAAAAACGTCGCCGATATCGGTGTGCGGTGTTTCGTTCCCTTGGATTCCGCTCCGCCGATGAAGTTGATGCAGTTGTTCCATTTGCAGGTGTCTCAGGGAACGAACGTGCTGGAGAAGAGGCAACCGGTGTCTCGCGCTAAAACCGCATAGGGCGCAATGATAAAGCTTCGCTTGGGTGGGTACGTTGGTGCTGGCTTCATGCAGATGACGAAGAAGGAGCGCGGCGGCTTCGTGTCTCGGGGACGCGGCATGAAGGGCCAGTTTATGAGCGCTGTTAGTGTAATAGTCGCACGCGTGGCAACGCAATTGCGCGGTGCTGGTGGGCGATGCCAAGTACTTCAACTTCCACTCGTTCCTCGGGCCGCCTTCCTTCACATGGTTCACGTGCTGCAGGCGCTGCAAATGCTTGTCCGTTTTGCAGTGGAGTTGAAAGTTTGCTTTTAAATTAGTTTTATAGGAACAAAGTTTGCACACAAAGTGGCCGGCTACCAGCGCCAGGATCTCGCCCTCGCGCGTTCGCGTTCTGTCTACAGCCAGATGGTGGGTCAGGGCTTCGAGGGAGTCCGTCGCGAAGTTGTTGCAGACGCAACACTGATAGAGATGGGACGGGTCGGGATCAGCCGGTTCCGGAGGAGGATCCATGCTGTCCGGTGAAAGTCCGACGTCTCCGCCAAGATTTCCCATCGCGCCCATACTCGCCATGCCGCCCATAATTTCCGGTGGGAGCTGCGGTGGCAGCTGACCACCGGTCATCATTTGAATCAATAGGGCCTGATTGTAAGCCATGTCGGCCAGAGCCGCTTCGGCGTGTTGGGGTTTGTCCAAGCCGCCCAGGTGCAGCAACTGCTCGAGTTGCTGTTGGTGCTGCTGTTGCGCTTGTTGGTGATGATGCTGTGCTTGCTGATGATGCGACTGTAACGCGGACAAGGTCTGCATGTGTTTTACGTTCTGTTGCAGGACCAGCATGTTGTGCGTATGCTTTTCACTGGTCATGTGTATCCTTAGGTTGCGCGCAACGTTGGTCTCGTAGTTGCAAACGTCGCAGCGAAACGTCGGCTTCGGCTTGCTTTGGTTTCCGGCTTGGCCAGCGATGTGCGGACTGTGGTTCTGCTGGTGGTGCGGACTTCTCGTTGGCATCGGCGCGTCTTGCGAAGAGGATGGATTGCTGGCGCCCGAGCTGCCGCCTCCGCCTTGCTGTAACTCCTGCATGTTATTCAAATGCTTGTCGCTCTGCATATGAATGCTGAGATTGCCCTTCGTCGTGGTAGAATAATTACACACTTCACACCTGTAGGGCTTGTAGCCGCAAGTGTAAGTCTCGCCCCGCGCTAACCTAGGATGCGGTTGGCCAGCGATGCAGTATATGCAGGACGTTTCGCTCTCCGGATGCTTCTCTTTCATGTGGATCTCCAGGGTTTCCTGATACTTGTAATGCCAATTACATTTCGGACACTTTAACGTCTTGCACGAGTTTCTACTGTGAATCCCAGCTAACGGCCCTCCAGGACCCGCTAAGCGGCTACTGGCGAGGATCAGTTCACATTTCGGGCACTCGACGCCGCTCGGTCTGCCTTGCATGTGTTCGGGACACACGCCGATGGTGGTGCCCGTCAGGAAATTCGGTGGCTGCTGGGTCAGGGCAGCGTAAGAAGACGGCGAGCCTTTGGTCGATGAACTTGGCGGAGGTGGCGAAGTGTAATGCATAGTGGCGTCCGGTGCTTTGGCCCAGGAAGCAGCGCTCACCTGCGCCCCGGTCCATTGATGTTGCTGCGTTTGCTGATGATTGTACGTTAGAGGATGATTCGAATGCGACGTGGGTGTGGTGGGTGTGCTCGGCGACGGCCTCTGTTGCTGTTGCTGTTGCTGCTGTTGGGGACTGCTCGGGACTCCGGGCGTGCTCGCGGGCGTGCTGGACGCCGTCGGTGGCTCGTGCTCGTTGGATTCGGCGCGCTGCTGTTGCTGCTGGCTCTGCATCTGCGCGGGCGACGATTGCGGACACGTGGAGTTCGTCACGGGCTCGAGAAAGCTGACGAGCGGCTGCTTTCCTCTGCCCACGGCCTGGATGATCGCCGATGCCGTCGAATGAGAAAGTACTTGTCTCTCGTCTTCCATCAAGGTGAGTTGATGCTCGCCCTGGGCGTGCGCCACGAAGCTTTTCGCGTACCCGAAGCTCAGTTTGCATATGAAACACATCAAAATAGGTTTCACAGGCACCGAAGCGGCAGGCGGTGGTGGCGCTGTCGGGGGCGGAGGCGGCTGTTTGCTCCCCTCTGCGCTTCTGTAGCTGATCACCCGATAGCTGTGCATTACAGGAAGATCGGGATTGTGCTGCTGGGCCGCCGAACGTTGCTGTTGTTGTTGCTGCTGTTGCTGGTACGCCTGATGGGCGTACAGTCTCGACACGTAGTACGCGCTCGCGATTTGAGGAAATACTAAAGAATGAGGAACAGAGACACCGCGGCCGTCTACAATGCAACCGTCCGGCAGGGAATCATCTTCACTCAGTTCGCTCTCGCCCTCGATTATGTACGCCGAACCGTCCGGGTTATAGACGATCTTCCCATCGAATTTCTCAACGTCGCCGCCCGTTGGACTTGGGCTCGGGCTAGGACCTTGCTGCTCTTGCTGTTGCTGGCCTTGCGATTGCATGGTCATAGTAGTAGTCGTAGTGGTCGTAGTTGTATCCGCGATCGGCGTGGGCGTTGGTATGGCATCGCGGGTGCAGGGTTCTGTGCCCGAGGGTGGACTGGCCGTGCGGGGGTGGTGGGGCTGATGCAGCGCAGCCCCCGCTGCCGGGGGGGACCCGCCCCCTCGACCCCCCTCCTCCTCCGGGCTCATCTCCTGCTTTTGCTGCGTGTACGGGGAATTTTGAAAGGGCCCGCCGTGTTGCTGTTGTCGCTGCTGCTGCTGCTGGTGTTGCTGTTGCTGATGATGGGCCGCCACCAGCTGCTGGTAAAGCTGATGCTGCCCGATCGCGTTCGACGTTTGCTGTTGAAGATGCGAGGGAGGAATGTTGTGGTGCTGAAGGTGGTATTGGGGGGGATGAGGCTCACTGGAGGGCATCACCCCAAACGTGAGGCGGGCGCCAGCCTCACATCACCTACGGCGCCTGCGCCTACACTCTCTCGACTTACTCTTCTTCTTCTCCTCCTCCTCCTACCAAATGCTGCGCTCCCCACCCTCTTCAATCGCAGTCTATCGGTAATCGTAAACTCTTCACGATCAACGGACACTTTACTAGCTACCCCGACGCAACCCCAGGTCGTACCTGTAACACAGAACAATTCGTCTCGTGAAAAACGTCTGTCTCGATAACACAATGCGTCATTAACGCCAAACTTACCGAGCCGGACGTAATGACCGACTTCACATATTTTGTTTTCTATCGAGAAGATTCTTTCATTGAAAATAATTGAATTGATTTGTTCATCCAAACATGTATTATAATCAAAATGACGGAAGATCTGAATTCTTACCGGCAGGCTCAGTGTTAACACATAACATTAAAGTGAGCTAATTAATGTTATCGAAACTAGAACGTTCAAATTTACCGTAGGGAATAGTAGTTTAACTGGTTTGCATTTCGAAAAGAATGAGTTTCAAAACCTAATTAAACATTAGCGACACCTATATGTGATCGACGCGGTACTCAACGAGTGAATTTTACCATAAAGATTCGAATTGGAAAACCAACTCGCTGTGTTCACACGGGTACAGAACGAAGCTAGTCTTCACAATAAATTGAACTAAGTTCGCGCAGTGTTCGCGGTTCGCGTAGCAGTCTCAGATTCGTTTTCGGTGCCGAGTATTCAGGAGATCTCAGTTCGCCCGCTCGAGAGGGAATGATTTCGCGAGGAGTATTATGAGATGGTCTAGCCGGTTAATCCGGACAAACAGTGCCGGCTCCGAGGACAGTCAAAAGATAGTGAAATACGTAGAAAATGCGGCAAGCTGCGTGTACAGAGGATCAAGCCAGCGATGGCCCCGGGTCGGTACACAACGCCGAACAGAGACTCGGCATGGTAACACAAGGCATCCTGTGTTCGGATTACCTGGGCCCACGGTGGACCCAGCTGTGTTTGCGGCCCGACCATGCTTATCTATCGATTGGTTATTGACGTCTCTCTTCTGCTTGCGACCACCAGAACAGAACAACCATAACGGAAAGGGAGATCGCACGGTCAAATTCGAGGGAATGAATGTAACTCTTGTGCAGGCTTAGATTAAGGCGTTCTTTTCCCGATACCCCCCATCTACGACTAGTTTTTCTAGTCGTAAAACGACAAATTGTCCGGTTCCGCAAACAGATAACGAAGACGTTACGAGGACTTTGAAAATAGCGCCGCGAGATATTCTCTTTGGAAGCATTCATACGTTTTCTCGACGGGCACCCCGACGATCCTAGATTAGCGGATGCGTATTCAATGATCTAGTCGGCGACTACGCCGCAGTCCATAGCCGCAGATTATCGTGTTCGAAAAGACGAACGCACGAGGGTTCGCGGAATCTAACGGACCAACGTTGAAAAGAGTGGGTGTATTCGAATTTATGCATTTGTGGACGCGCGCGTGTGCGAGGGCACAGCGCCGCGTGACAGACCTCTGAATCCCTCTCATCCCGTGGAAGCAACCGCGGGATTCTTTGCCCCCTCCCCCGCCCGATCGCGAGCCGCAGTTTCCTTTCTTGTTGGCTGCAAGTGCACCGCTGGACATCATGATACATACGTGCACGGTATTATGCGGTCTCTCCTTCGCTATCTTTATTCGCCGCTCGCCCTTCGCCTTTCCCTCCTATCAACGCGGTTATAATTCCGCGTCTCCGGCGACGCCACTTTTATAGTGCGTCGGGCCACCGCAAGCGATCGTTTCCTCCGATTATCCTTGATCTAACCGCCCGGAATAATGTCAATCACGCGGCGGTCACGATTATATTTAGCGAATTTTCTTGCCCGCGGAATCGCCCATGAGAATTAATGCTCCCCGGCTCGATGTTCGGCGATCAATTATTTCCCTCCCGTTCCAGGTCGAACGGTAGTTCTTTGTGATCCGTGTTAGAGTCAGAAATCTGGTTTACCCGTATACACATGTAACCGCGACATCTGTGTTTTGTATTTAACACGAATGTGAAGCGTTTCTTGCAATTAGTCTAAAGGTGCGCGTTGTGAGTGTCGGTCGTGTTGTTAAAATATCTCGACTACGGGTCTTTCGTAGAAACGCAGACACGTTCTGCTGAAACAACCAGCGTCCAAGGAATCATTTAACACAACAACCGGCGCTCGTGCAATTCGGGTTAATGCATAAATTATTGAGGACAGAAAAGAAAATCGTACTTCGATTCCGAAAGCAATCGACGCGTGAGAATTTCGATGCACGTTCGCGAAATGCATGCAAGTATACGGGTGTATCGTCGTAACTAAATATCAGGATTGCTTGAAACGTTAGGCGAATCAATTCGTCTGTGGGAAAACTTGAATGTTTGCGGATAACAAGTTCGGTTCTACCGGCTGAATTCTTAACACCGAAAAAAGTTGCGCGGCATTGCGACGCTAATTATATCCAGATTAAGCGTTTCGGCTTGTCGTTCGCCTAACGTGTAGATCTGAAAGCGAATAAAAAATCGAAAGAGAACCACGACCGTTATAATAACGTAATTTATAACGACATTAGCACGGCTCGTGTAATCGTCTACGAAAAAAATATAGGTAACGGCGATACCGGCTAGATTAGGGCTCCACTATTGTGTAACCAGAAACATCTGCCAATCTAACATCACCTGCCCCGAGTTACCTATTTCTAGCTAATTTATCACCCGCTTCGACGGTGCTAGGAACCAAAGGACGGCCACAGACGAACCCGACTCGATCGGGACTAGATCTGAATAGAAACCTCTACTTTCATCAGTCCTTAGCCTTTCATTAAAAGATACCATCTTAACTGCTCCGAGACCATGCGAATTCTTGATTATAAACACGTGGCTGTTCCACTGATTCGTGCCGATAAACCCGCCAATGTTCTCTTCGTTTGCATCGAGCGAAATTTCCTCGCCTAGAAAGAATGTTCTGCTGGAAGAAAGCTGGGAGCTCGTTGACTCCGAAGAGAAATGGACGCGGCGCCGATTTAATTAAACCGAAGATATGTCGGCAATGTATAATCGTTTAAAATCAATCTCCATTTCTTCATTTCCCTTCTAGAATTTTATTCTTCGACTAGACATACTGTATCTGTGACTGTACCTACCAATTATATAAATAAACTGTGAATAAACAAGCTGTGCAATTATTTTAGTATGTAGCTAAAATTCGTTTAGATTCAGTTGAACTGTTGATATTTCTGCAGTGTTTCATTATTTTAAATCAATCCTCATTTCTTCGTTTTCCTTCTAGGACATTATTCCTTAACTACATAACGGCGGAAACAAGTCATAAAATTATTTGCATCAATAATCTGAGCGTGCCAATTATAAATATATTATAAATAAAGAAGTTATGCAATTATTTTAGTATGCAGGCTAAATTGGCTTAGATGTTAGCGTCCGAGAAAAACGCGTTCTTCTACGCAAAGAAAGGAATTTCATTGTATTCGAAGCAGCGCTAAAATTTTATCGCGTATTTGCGACATTCAGAGTCGATTCGTGCAATCGAACTTCTGAAAAACTGGCTTCCCATGATCGTGATCGGGTCGGGTATCTACGAAAGGAAGAAACCTGTGTTCCCGCCTTTGCAAGAGCAGCGTATAATTTGTAATCATCCTAGAAGTTGAGGAAAACACCATCGGATAGTCTGATGGTGCGACGAGCGACGGATCATTACGTGCATCCAGGATTCATTAAGCCGGGGTATCGATTGCTGGTACCTCTACCTTTTCATCGACGACATATAGAAGACTCGTTCTTCCGCGAAACATAGTTACTGCTAATGCGATCGATGAATTTGATTACAGTGTTCTTATCGGCCACTGTCGAAGATTACTGAAGGTTACCGCAAAGACAGGCCCGGCCTGTCCACGATTAATAATGTACAAGATTTTCTAGTGGCTGCGGGAACCGATCGCGTGAAGCTTCCTACGATTAGTCTGCTTCCTCGAATTTACACAGTTCTCTGGATAAACATTCATTTCGATTAGGAACCCTATCTTAATCACGCGAAACCACCAGCTGCGCCCCGGTCTCGTTCTGCACGCTTCCCCTTGTACGTTTCTCGAAAAGACAATCGTTTTGCGGATACGTCACCAATTTTTATTGAAACTATAGTTCTCCGGACACATTCATGGTGTTAACAATGCATGTTGTAACAATTCTTGCCTTGTCTTCTTCTTATTTCTTACATTCTTATCTAGAAAACAATAGTCGATATAAAAGAACGGGTACGCCGAAAGTTTAACAATATATTTGCTTTATAAGGATATGCAATGGAGGCATCGAAACGTTAGTTAGTTCAATTCTTGCTTGAAACTTCAAATCAGCAATTTATGTTTCACTTATCGTGTGAAATTTTAAAATTGTAAACAGAAAAAGTTACATACTTCACAATATCTAAGAAAAGAAAGTGATGCCCTCTCAATCTGAAAAATTCTCTAAAGAACGCCTTTTTAAAGATCACGTTTAAAGTTTAAGAAGATCGGAATGTTTGTGTCACCAAAATTAGCTAATAGGGGGAGGCTGTGTAAGAAATATTTTTTTCGAAAAATGTTCGAATTACAAGAATCGATTTGCCTAAAAAATCGAAATCAATGAATCGATAATGACGAGAAACGTAGAAGACGAGAAAAACCTACACATCAAATAGTTTGCTTGATACTTTTACTAATAACAATTAGTTCTCCTAAAAGGCAAAAATCGAATTACAATTCTCACGCGAAAGAACCGATTTCAGAGAAGATCGGATGCGAAAGAAAGAATCCGAAAGATTGATCTTTCAAGCAAAAGAGTTGGTTTTCTAAAGAATCGAATCGAACTCGAGCATCCCCAGTTTGAATGGTGTCCTGCGCGTGTCGCCGGCGCGCAGAGACAACGGTCTCGCGGCGGCAAACAAAATGGGCGACTACAACGGTGGACGCGAAACATAATCGTCGCTTGGGAGAAAGTCGAAATGAACACAGGTGGTTGATGAGTTTGTACCGAATGACGGGAGGGAAAAACACGGGCCGGGATACGGACGGGACAGAGATAGACGCAGAAGTGGAGTGACGGTGTTCGGTTGGGGGATGGGTAACAGTTAAACATTCAGCGGACGACCGCGAACGAGGCGCACCAGGCTTTTGTTTGTCGCGC